GTGCGAAAGTAACTGCAACTAGTTACAGTTGATTTTTCATGCAGTTTGTTTTAGCTAATTCCCAAGGGTTTGACAATTTTTCTTACGTGGCGGCGACATAGTAAATCTCATTCTGGCAACTATACTACGCCGGATTCTCAATAAATCTTCTGGTGACTTATAAATGTATTGATTCGTGTTCAATTTCTGTCTCTAAAATTCAACCTCTCCCAATCGCAGTGGAATAAATGGCGCCATATCTTACTTTTTACAAATCGAAGATAGTTTTAATTTTGGGAAACGTTCTGAAATTATTGCAATGGATTTATGGACATCCAAGTCCCTTTTAGTCTTTTTTGCAGAATATGCGGTTGGTGTTACTTTCTCAATCCTTACATCGGTGTTCGGTAGGCGGATTTTCTGATCGCCAAATACTTGGTTCCATGTCTCCTGGAGAAAAAATTAATATATACAGTGTGTCTGTGAACTTACGTTCGCAGCATAGGGGAAACTTTTTTATTATCAATTTAACGAAAAAAAAGTTATTCTTCATAAAAGTTTCTGCTTCTTGAAAAAATGATATTAAACTATGAAAACTTGGAATAGCATGTACCGAGTGGTCAGAAAATAAAAAAAATATACAAGGTGTTTCCTAAGTACGATTCATAATGTATTTAGGAAATAGGTATATATATTTATCCATCCAATTAACAATCAATTCAGTTTACAATGTGCTAATGATTAGGGAAATTTAATTGTATTGAAATGTGTATGGCATCATTGGCACAGATCACCTACATACAGATGCGAAAGAGCGGTGAATTCGTGGTTCAAGGTTAATTTGGCGGACATACGCTGGCCGCACTAATGCCGCATCAATAAATTTTGAACATATTTACGGCATTGATTTTGGTCATCTAATGTCATATAAATATAAAACGCTCAAACACGTCAATTTTGTTTTGGAGGGGGACATTTATTAGACGTATAAGCCAACCCTCATCTGCAATCCCTTGGGCAGGGTGAAACTCACCCCTAAAATCTTAAATGGAAAGGGGGGTTGAAACAACATTTTTATTTAACTGGTAGTGTGATGGGGAAAATATTCACATATACGCTGATGATGTAACGTCTTCTCATATTATTGTCGCAGGTTAAATTGTTTACTCTAAATAAAAATTGTTTATCAGTATTGCGGCTGGACGGCTCAAACAGCAGTGTGATTTCCTATGCGACGCGTTTGCCTAATTTTTGGTTTTGATGGTGAACGTGTTAATATAATTTAGCAATACATTAATGATAGGTACCGAATAAATTTGAAGCAAAAATTCCAGGAAAATCCTTATAAAAAAACTTGAGACGGAATTATGTTGCAGAAAAATATTTGTATCAACAAATCATGGGTCAAGTCATGTTGACAATAAAAATCACTTGAACTACCGGCGATTTTGATCTGAATACGAGCTAAAGCGTTGTAGCTATTAATATTATGATGTAAATAATTTTAAAAAATCTCCGGCTTGTTGTCGCTGGTTTCTTATATTGAGACGCGAGACCTCAGCCTTCTGATTGCTTAGAGACTTGTTAAGACTTGCTTATCGCAGGAAATAAAATTAGAACGATGGCCCATATTTCTAGGAAAAGTTCGCTGGAGTGTGCATGTGGTTTTCAAGCTTATATATATTTTTCCTAGGATTTGATATATGTTGGGGATACTAAAAGATTATAGCATGAATTTTATCAATTACTCATTGGCTTGGTGATTAGTGTATTGGAGTTTGGTGCAATGGTCCGAGGGCGGAATCACCGCTCAAAGATATGATCCAGACAACCCCATAGTTCACGGTCCGCCTTACAAGAATCTACCTATCTATTTCGAACCCCCATGAACACCTCCCTATCCTGTACCTGCTAACCACAACCCCAAGTAATAACCCAAACCAATGCACAGCTAAAATCCAATCTCCAAGACAGAATTAGACAAGTATTTTGGCGCAGGCGCCACATGCCTTAGCCTAAAGCAGGAGGCTCTGGCAATCCCAATCAAAGGTCTATTTCGATCACCCGTTCTTCGGAAAATTCCAACTGGTCAGCGATCTAGTGTGTAAACATCTCCTTTATCGCTGGCTATGAGGAAATGCAATTGTCTAATCAATCATCGGACAACCCCAATCTGACCACTACACTTAGGCAAAAACTGCCCAATTTAGCTGCAAATGCATGTCCCAATCCCGGTAGATTCTTGCACCCAATCCTCCCAACCCTCATTCTCTGACATCCCTTACAAACTTCCTTCACCTGCACCCAAACCATTACCTAGAGGCTCATCAAGTCTCAGGATTGGTCGGGGTGCAGGGCTTTCGAACCCATTTAATCCAAACCCGCGCTCACGCGCACATACCCTTGAGCTCACACTTTGTTGTTGAGGTAGCGTCCATGGACCATAACGCCCCAAGGGGCACGACTTTTATTTTTGTTTTTATATTTATTAAGTTAATCGGAAGTGGGGTTTTTTGGAACTTTTCCCCACGAAGAGGGCGCTGCGCGCTCGACACCCCATATCAAGCATCTCCCCCCTATTTTTTGAGCAGGCCAGTATAGTGGCCCAATGCACGCCATTCGTGGTAGTCACCAACGACCGTAAGGTCACCTAAGAACGTTAAAGGGCAACCAGGGAACGTTTAGAAGAGACCCAATGGGAAAAGGACAGAGGTTTGTGGGCCAGAACATCGGCCAAGCTGGAAAAAGCGCCACATAGCTCGCCAGGCGCGCATGTGGCGCGCAGTGTGCTGCGCACATTGAGTGTTTTTAGTTTTAAGCCTTGTCCTTAGTTTTAGTCCTTGTTTGTATATGTACTGTCTGAGGGGAGCCTCACTCCCCCACCCCCATATGTATATGAAACTGATGAATTTTGGAAATAAAGAGATTTGAGTTTGAGTTGAGTTGAGGGTTCGTTCTCAAGTAGACTTTTTTTTTAATACAGAAATTATTTCGAGTGACTGACATCGACGACTACAAGGATGACGACCCGATGACGAAACGACTATTTTATTATTAGTTACGTCATCATCAGTACAATACGCCTTGAATAAAATACCAAGTCACGAGGTGCTATGTGTGTTTGATGAGCCGCTTGAAGCCAGATACGGACTGACTTAAGATATTTTATCTGATGTAGATGTAGTTGACAAAAAATATGAGCGGCAGGTAAAAAGTGATGTAGTTCTGATTGCTCCGGAGAGCCGGAGAACACTAGTGCGCGTGTGTTACGAAGGCGTAGCAGATTAAAACCTCCAGATCGTTACTGTTGATCGTTAGCACCGCAGTTCAAAATTTTGAGTTTTTTGTATTAGGGTAGTTTGTTAGTTTTTTTTTCTTGTTAAAGGGGGAATGTGTTCTGTATGCATTTTATCGCATATATTTAGGCAGTTAAAAAATTTCTTTAATTTTCTCTTTTTTCCTTATCTGGCCCGGCTGGTTTACTTATTTTGGGAATGTTGGAAAAAGGTACTCAAGTACCCACCGGGCCACGGTAAATGTGAATGATCAGTCTACCATCAGTACTCATTGAAAATACGAACAATGTGTATTTTGGAATAAGGCGTTAAAGTTTCAACTCGTGTCTCATTCCAAATTAAATGAATACATAACAGAACGTATGCATCCACAAGAAGCATACACATAGAACCATGCTCGCCCCACTTATTGTAAACAACATCCCAGTTTCTCTATCCCCGAAAGCAAAATACCTTGGCATCATCTTTTTTCAGAGAATGAAATTCCATCACCAGGTTTCCCATGCTTTGGTTCGCACCTTCAGTGCGCAGCAAAAACTGTTCCCCCTCATTGGCTCTAACTCCCCCTCCCCCCCCCCACCCCACCTTTCACCAGGTAACAAATTAATAATATGTAAACAGGTCATAAGGTCTATGCTAACATATGGGGCCCCTGTCTGGAACATAATCTCCACAATACAAAGGAACCGCCTTCACCGATTCCAAAATCGCATCCTGAGGCAAGTACTTTCGAAGTCCAGGTATGCCAGAATAAGGGACACGTATGCGCAAGCATGCATTTCTTATATCTCTGACTACCTGGATGAAATCAGCGAAACATTTTATAGACATCAAGTTTACGGCTCCTCTCTAATACGCAGAATGACTGCCTCGAGATATGATCCAGAAAACCCCATAGTTCACGGTCCACCATGCAAGAATTTACCTAGGTATCTATTTTGACCCCCATGAACACCCCCTCATCCCAAACCTGCTAATCACACAACCAAATAAAAAACCCACACCAATGCATAGCTAAAAACTTAACGTCAAGACAAAATTAGACAAGAAAGAAAGAATAGATATTTATTTCCCTGGATCATTGTTATTTGATTCGTTAATGGGTTATGGGAAGGAGGAAAGAAACCACTTATCTTACGGCGATGTTTCGTATATCCATGTATACTTTTTCAAGCCTCAGAAATCGGTTAAGCAACTCCAGACCAATGTTTGTGTTGGTAGGTTCAGGTAGTTGGACATTCTTAGTGTAAATTAATTGCTTAGGTTCTACTTTATATTGTTAATGGTGATTGGAAATCAACTCGGAAATCAATCATCAAATCAACCGACCCACAAAGAAATCTACCAAATTTAATTTATAAAACAAAATGTAATGTGACATACATATTGCAATTGAAGAGTTTGGGGCAAAAAGCGGTCAAAGACCAAATTTGTCAAAATCGAGATTTCGTCAGATTATGCATTAAAAATATACTCTCCATCGTCTGGAGCAAAAACCGTCCATGTATTAGCATCAAAATAGCATTTACTTACACATAGCCCTTTTATTGCACCAAACGTGTTGATGGACCGGGTAGGCGCATGTAATAGTTTGTGTCAAAAAGCGTCCACGTGTTGCACATGACCGTTTGTTGCACCAAAAGTCCTTGACCTATATATTTGCTGTTATTCTAACCTCAAAGCGCTCAGTACAGGTTCACACAAGGCACACGATCTTACTTAAAAATGAGTGATTATTTAAGTGATACAAGTGATACTGACCCTTTCCATAACTCAGATGATAGTGACAAGGACCCTGACTATGTAGATTCAAGTGATAACGAAAATAATCAAGGTAGGAAGTTTTTTTTTTTTTTTGTTCTGTTTGTAAAGCTACTATTTTGGTAAAATTTACAGGATTCACAGCACAAGCTCCTAGTTCAACAACTGATACTTCCGAAGATGAATTTGATGAAGACCAAGCAGGTATGCTTTAAAAAAATAAATAATTGGATATTCTAAAAGATGATTTATTGTTATTTACAGGGCCATCCAGACCACATGTTACTACATCCAGAACTGATACTTCTCATATTACTGCCAACGACGAGATTATTGAAAACGAAGCCGGTAACTATGCGATTTTTTTAAGCAATTTGTTAATCTGAAAGTGTTATTTTTATTTTAGAAAACAACGACGCCGGAATGGAAACTAAAACTAAGAAAAGAAAAAGAAGGCCTGAAAAATGGAAGAAAAATATAAATAAACTAAAAAGAAATTCAGGCAAACAGTATATTAATAAAAAGGGTATAGTTGTCTCGGAAAAGAGGTTGGGTCCTAGATGTTAGTGCCGTGGGAAATGTTTTGATATTTTAACAGAAGTTGAGAAAAACACAATATTTGGAAACTTTTACTCCATGCAAGATAAAAATATTCAGGACTCATACTTGGGTGCACTTATAGATGTGAAAAAGGTAGTAAGGAGAAGAAAAACCACTGAGGTTGAAAAAAAAATCTATTCCTATTACTACCACGTCAAAGTAGGCCCTAAAAGTGTGAAGGTTTGCCGTACAGCCTTTTGTAGCCTGCATGGAATACATAAGTCACGTGTTTTGAGGATTTGTCATTCTAGGGCCTCTGGATCCTTGCTTGAGAAAGATAAGCGTGGAAAACATCAGAATAGACCGAACAAAGTTCCTGACGAAGTGGTTGCTACAGTAAAAAATCACATTGAAAGTTTCCCAGCACGCGAGTCCCACTATTCCAGAAATAAAAATAAGAAAAAATTTCTGCCCGCTGAGTTAAATGTAAAAAAAATGTATGAGCTTTACTTAGAAAAGTATGATTTTGACCAATATTCTCTGTTAAAAAACCATCAAAAAATCAAGCCCAAGGTTACATATGATTTTTACTATCGTTATTTTACGCAAAACTATAACTTATCCTTCGGATATCCCAGAAGTGACACCTGCTCTTCTTGCGACGTAATGAAAATTCGTATTGAAGCTGCCTCGACAGAGGAAGAAAGAAGGGAATTAACAGTCCAGAAGGAAGTGCATCTTCGCAAAGCCCAAGCATTCTATGATGACTTAAAAGAAAAATCAGAACTAGCAGTAACCGATCCCTCTGTCGAAACGATCTGTTTTGATTATCAGCAGAACCTACCACTTCCTGTTTTGACGACTGGTGACATATTCTATGCAAGGCAAATATGGGTTTACAACCAGATGTTCCATTCCTGCTCAAACAACCAATCAGTAAGCTACATGTTTGACGAAATGACTGCAAAAAAGGGTTGCATCGAATCGATTTCTTTTTTAATGCATTTCATAGAGAAATATGTCAGCAAAACTGTCACAACTTTGTACATCTTTACTGACAACTGTGCGGGGCAAAACAAAAATGCGGTAATGGTGCATTTTTTGCTAGCCTTAGTCAGTAATGGAAGATTCAGAAAAATAGTTCATCACTTACCAGAGCCAGGACACAGCTTTTTACCCTGCGATCGAAACTTTGGTCAAATTGAAAAGAAAAAACGCAAGAAAGAGCTTCTTTATTTGCCAGATGAATGGTATGATTTGGTTCAGAGCTGTGGCAAAAAGTTTGTTGTCGAGCGGGTGGAACAAGACATTATATTTGATTTTAAAAGTTATCTTGAACCATATTTTAAGAAGACTTCCGTAATAAAGAAAAAACCATTCACCATTTCAAAGTATAGGATCTTCATCTATGATTCTGTTCAACCTGATCAAGTGCTTGTTACAGAAACTCACAATATTGCTCTTGTCGTCGGATATCCTTTGTATAAATCTCCAGGTACCAAAATCGATTTACATGTGGCTCCTTTAGCATACCATGAGAAGTTAGCCTTAAAAACCAAAAAGTATGACAGCATAATGCCTATTGTCAAAAAATATGTTCCACCTATTTATTTGGAATATTATAATACAATAAAACGGGCAGCAGATGAGAATAATGCCGAAGATTCCGATTGATTTTATCTTAAATGTATCTAGTTTACTTTTCTCTACACTTACTTGTATAAAGCTATGTTGAAGACCGTAGTTATTTGATCTAATCATTAAAATTACATATTTTGTAATTCAATTTGTGTTTTTTTTTTGCTTTATTGGTGGCAACAACCGGCCACGTGCATCTTAAGATGTGAAATAAAAACTTTGTCATTAGCAATATAAAGTGGAAAAATATAGTGTCTTGTTAAGTTTTTAGTTAGCAATTAAACGAAACATACCAAAAAAATATGTCTTGGAAATTAGACGAATGGTACGTTTTTCTCAATTATCTCAAAACTAGGTTCCATGCACGTGACCGATTATTGCACCAAGCTCTTCAATTGCAAATTATTTCTTTTCAAAGGTTACAAAATCAGTGTTTTTCAAGACTTTGGACTTTTCCTTCTTGGGAACTTTTTCTCTGTGAAAATCAGCTATATCTACCATTGATAATTCAGCTGTTTCCTTCATTCCATACTTACTATGAACGTAGATCTGTTGCCTTGTTTTATTCGTCCTGCAGAAAATGCGCCAAGGCTTATGGTGCGCGTCGAAGGGGTGGATATTGCTGCGAAATGCGCTATTGCAATGCAAAGGTGTCTCGTGAACAATATACCTTTCGCTCCTATTCACGATTTGCGCAGCATGTAATAGGTCAATTGTAAGAGAGTAAGGTGCTTTTCAAAAGGACCCCGCAAGTTTGCTCTTGACCGTGTTGACACAAACATCTAGTCATAGTTGTTTAATTTGCAATTTGCCAAATGAACCTCGTTTATTAGTTGAGGCAAGAACTAAAATTTTTATTGTAAGAGAGATTTATGAACCCGGCTATACGAAATGCTGCGCGTGCACCATTTGGACGACAACGGTCTTCTGCTACAACGTCTGCTACCTGGGTTAAGATTTGTTCATAGGCCTTACGTAGTTCCAGGGCAAGAGACAGGCAATTTTATACAACAACTACGCGCAGTTGCCGGTAAGGGTTCGACAATAACACGAGAACGACATCTCGATGATTTCAGGTGCATCGTTCCTATTAGCAAAGAGCAATTTCAAAATCATTACACTTTTTGTGATCCTGTACCGACTGGAGGAGGACACAGATATGTCAAAAAAAAGAGATTTAATAGATTTTCTCTGCAAATTACGTCAGGGTCCTTCCGACGATTTTGTTAAAGCTATTTTTAATTATAGTAGTCGCCAAGTTAAGAATCACGCCATCCATACTTTTACGTCATCATTGGTGGCAGATTTGTCCCTAAAAGCATGTTTGGAGCCATCAATCGAGACAATTTTATAGCAAATCATGTTACAGATTTGCCAATACACTTTATAAGGCAAACCCTGAATTACCACGCAATATTTCCTATGTTGATGGTACGTATATATGCCGAAAAGCAGGAGTTATCAGACATTACGGCAAACATACTCTGTCGACAAAGGACTCCATCTGGTAAAACCTGCTCTGATTATGGCGCCGGATTAATATATCTTAGCCATCCAGGGGCCATATTTTGCAAATTCGAGAAACAATGATGCCGCTATGCTTTAAAACGAGTTTGAACGGGACCCTTGTGTGATGCGCAACTGGTTTCAGAACGGTGGTGTGTCTGTGGTATATATTCTCGATGGGTATAACAATTACAACATTGCACCTCTAGGATTTTTTGTGACAAAAATTTATTTCAACAAATTGAAAAGGGACATAAAGTTTTACGTAGTGGTGGAACAATCATTGGAGGTCGAGACTTTTTTAACATTTTCAATCTAACCTTGCAAACAATAAACGACATTTCGAAAGGAAACAAAGGTTCAGTTGATGAAATCTCAAATCAATACGAATATACTGTTTTTGGAAAGAAATTGGGTTGCTATAAATACGAAAAAAAATCTTTGCAGCTGAAACCCGTTCTATAAGCCAAGCATAGGCGGTTCTAGGTGGGGGCTTGGGGGGCTAAGCCCCTCCAAATCTGGAATTAGCCCCCCCAAATTTAAATTAGTGATGAGTGGCAAAATTTCGCAGTCACTGAATAAAAAATATTCAAGCGTTAGGATTAATTAACTACATCATTTCATTAATTTCACTGATTTAATACCCTTATCTAATTATTTCATAAAATTTTATTCAATTATTTCATAAATATCTGAAATCGGGACGTCTGGAAACAGAGGCAACTCTAGCCCCCACCGCTAGGGATAGGGTTGCCTCTGTTGCCTGTAGATGTGTGTAATAAGGAGCAGCCAAAGTTTACGCGCTGCTCAGCTTTGCTCTGCTAAGCGGCATTGTCTAGATACGATGTTAATCTGTAGCAACGTTGGAAACCTTTGGAGTGGAGACGTTGTAAAACGTGTATCTTTGTTCGAGTTGATTCACAGTTACATATTATTTTTCGCTCCAGTGTGAATAAACTTAGTTAAAGTTAACAGATTTGTGAGTTTTTGTTTTTGCTGTTTTTTTTTTAAAATTTAAATATACCTGCCTACTTGATTGGTAAGAAGCCGTCAACGTCACGTTCTATATCACTTATTAATTATAATTTTTTTGCATTCTAGGACTAAGCCTTAAAGGCTAAAGGGTTACTACAATAAATAAATAATAATAATGGATATTAGAAACTTTTTTAAACCAAAAAAGTCCAACGAAAATGAAAACAATCAACCCGTTACTACCTCTTCTGGTGTTGCAGCTCCAACGGCTACTAGTTCAGCTGCTGCTGCTACCTGCTACCTCACCTTATCGAGACCAAGGTGAGAAATCAAAAAAAGTAAATGAAGCTGTATGCGACCTAGGCACTCTTGAGTCTGGTCCTGCGCAACCGCTCCTTAATTCATATCCATCAGATATTTTTGGTATAAAAAACAGATCATTTTCTTTACGGCGAGCGACCTCGGAGCAGGGGCTTCAGCCCCCCCAGCACAGATGGACTAGAGCCGCCTATGAAGCCAAGGAATGTGCCTTTTGCCTATGAAGCAGAGGTAAACAAAGATTTGCAGCGACTAAGGAATGAAGAAATACTCTTACCAGTGGACAGCAGCAAATGGGTAACACCCTTGGTAGTGGTTCTGAAAACTGATGGGAAGATTCAAATTTGTGGTGACTCTAAAGCGACCGTAAACCCATACTTAGAAAAGATAGTTTACCCCCTACCTAAAATCTATGGATAGTATTTTTGCGAAGCTTCATAAATGAAAGTAATTTACAAAAATAGATTTATGACAGGCGAAGTCGAAAAGCTGAGATTAAACCTCTATTTTTGACCGTTCAGCGGAACCAGGCTTAACTCATTCGTTTGAACCAGGTTTAGGGATAAACTATACTACAACCAGTTTTCATCTTCAAAATTGGTTCAACATTTGAAGAAACCAGGTTTGTACAACTGGGCCTTAGTCATAATAGGAGCGGTCAGTTCGACGCAGTTATATTTGCCGACTGGTTTCGCAATTTGTTTGTACGTTTTCGAAGAAGCATTGAAGGACGGGTAGTAGGTATAGGGAACAATCTCTCAAGTCATTTTTCTGAAAAAGTATTAGGAGCAGCCCAGGAAAAAAATACTGCATTTTGTTGTCTTCCTGAAAATTGTACACCCCTTGCAAAGCCACTTGATGTTGCATGTCATGGGCCCTCAAAGCGAAACTGGAGAGCCATACTGGATGCATGAAAAAAGTTACAAACACTGTCCAAAGCGAAATTTTCTCGTTTGATAAAAACATTAGATACCTATGTGATGTTGCACCAAATAATAGGTCTGATAATTTAATATCAAGATTTAAAAAGTGCGAGATTTTCTCATCGAATCCAGAAGAAGCATTGAAGTTAGGGTAAGTTAGACAGTTCTACGGCCTCCGAAATCGCGTCATTCCCCGAACGTCATCACGCGTCATGGCCCTGAAAATGCGTCATCGTTCTTGACCTACTCCAACTTGTAGGGGACGCTCTGACGTCAGAGGCAATAGTTATCTTAAGGCCTTTTCGGAAACGCTGATCCAATTAACCCGCTGTTTGTTTTTATCTTTCTCTAACAAACACGATTGAAAACAGACACAGCTGGTAATCCGGCTAATGAATAGGCCTGTGGTCTATTTTGTCAACTGTCATCTATCAAATCAAAATCTCCATACGGCATATGTGAAATCAAAATGTCGTATGTCATTTATCAAATGAAACGTCAACATCTGGCTAATGTCATCTATCATTTTATTAACGGCGCCATCTATCGAGCGGTAATATTATTGCGAAAGTAATCACTTAAAGATGAAGTATTTGTAATTGAATCATACTGACTGACTTCACTTGTATTGGAAGACATTGCTGTATAGTCGCCGCCACATATATTCGAGATTCCTATAAAAAATAATTATTTCCTTATCCATGATGCCCGGATAAACAAAAACCGCAGCAAAAACTCTACAGATAAGGGTTGAAAATAAATTTAGCCCAAGAGCATCAAATAAATTAATTTTGCGTATAGTAAGTACCGTAAAATGGGGTGTCTTGAAAAAGTGTGGTGACTTGAAAAATATTGCAATGCAGATTTTGAAGTAGTTGCAACATTGCGTATCAGCTGAGGAAGCCGTTTTATCGCTTCAGTCTCATTCAGCAGGTTGTCCGCGCCATAAACAGACAAAAAACAAACACCTAGTGTTAACTGCCTACAGTGTGCAAAAATTTGAAACCAGGTAAAAAAAATACGTGATTTTATACCCTGCAAACTTCATATTGTAGAATCCATAGTATAATTACAAGAATGCCCCGGTTTTTTTTTTGTTTTGGTACAATATATTGGTCAACGAATTTAACCTAAAATAATTTTATAAATGTATTGTTGAGCAGTGGCGTATCAATTTATTTTTTTTTGTACTTTTAGGGGTGACTTGAAAAATATGCCGCGGACATACCAACGGCGCCCAGGGGCACGAAATAATCAATATTATTCTACGGAGTCGGTGCAACAAGGAGTTAACGAATATAATAATGGAAATGG